ATTCTACGCTCTGTTCTATGATGATGCGAAGCGTTGCAATTTGGTCTGCACATGATTTGTACTTCCTGAAGCCTGCCTGTTCCGGTCGCAGTTTTGAATCCAGTGCGTCTTTAAGCCTCTCCAGGATGATGCGGCTTAATATTTTACTTGGGGTGGACAGGAGAGTGATTCCGCGCCAGTTCTTGCAAGCACTGAGGTCTCCTTTCTTCGGCAGTTTGACAAGGTAACCCTTCTTCCAATCAGTTGGTAGGTACCTTCTCTTCCTTCCACACCTTCTGCAATAGTGGTGTGAGCATGTCCGCTGTTGTCTCTGCATCTGTTCTCAGTGCTTCTGGCGGTATTCCATCTGGTCCTGCTGCTTTCCCGCATTTCAGTAGCTTTATGGCGTTCAGGACTTCCATTTTCGTTGGGGGATTTATGTTCACTTGTAATTCAGCGGCTGCAGGTGGTATTTCTGGACGAAGTGCAGGTGGTGGTCGATTCAAGAGCTTCTTGAAGTGGTCGGCCCATCGTTTCCTCTGTTTCTCTTCTTTTGTAATTAAATTTCCTTCTTCATCTTTTATTGGTTTCATCTGTGTTGGTCTCTTCCCTGATAGCAACCTGGTTATTTGATACAATGTCGTCAGGTCTCTCTTACCTGCAGCCTGTTCTGCTTCACTTGCCAGTGTGTCGTAGAAGTGTCTTTTGTCTTTGCGTGCACTCTTCTTCACTTCTTTATCCAGTGTTTTATACATTGTGCTCAGTTCCTCTTGTCGTTGAGCATCCTTGCACTGGTTTATCTTCTGCTTCACCATCCTCCTCTCCTCTATCAGCTTCCAGGTATCCGTCGAGATCCATTCCTTGTCTTCTTTCTTCTTCCTTCCTAATACTGTTGTGCAGGTTTCTTTCCACATAGCTTTCAAAGACTTCCAGTGTTCTTCCACACAGGTTTCTTCAGGGATGTCCCTCGACGTCTCCCATTTTGTCTTGATGGCTGCTTTGAAGATCTCCTCTGTAGTTTCATCCTTCAGTTTCCGAGTGTTGTACTTGAATTGAGGTCTATCACCAGCTTCCTTGAAGGCTTTTAACTTGATTTGGAAGGTTCCTTGCACTAGATAGTGGTCTGAACCTACATCTGCTCCTCTTTTGACCTTGTGTTAAGTAGACTGCGTCTCCATTTTCTTGAGATTGGGATAAAGTTGATTTGATTTTTAGTGTGTCGTGGTGTCTGGTGAAATCCATGTCGCTTTGTGGATATCTTTGTGCCTGAACACACTGCCTCCAATCACCAAATCGTTGAATGCGCAGAATTCTGCAAACAATTCTCCATTCTCATTCATTTCACCTAGCGCCTCTCGACCCATGGTTAGTTCTCTTCCCGTGTTGTCCCCTCCCAGTTTGGCATTCATGTCGCCCCACCCATTAGAATTTTGATATCGCCAACTGGCGTCTTGTCCAGTGTTGATTGAAGTTGTCTGTAGAAATCCTCCTTTTTCTCTTGCTCTGCATTATTTGTAGGTGCATAACATTGTATGATTGTGGCCTTTCTTCCTTTTGAGTTGAATCTTGCTGTCATGATCCTGGAGGAGATTGGTTCCCACTGCATGATAGCCTTCGATGCTCTTGAGGACATCATGATAGCCATTCCCTCAGTGTGCTCGTGGTTGGCGTCTGGGTGACCGGAGTAGATTATTGATTCTCCAGTTGACAGTTTGGAGAGTCCACTCCCATTCCATCTGCTTTCGCAAATCCCAAGCACTTCGATGTGATACCTTCTCATCTCCTTTGCAATCTGGGCTGCCTTACTGGGTTCAAACATCGTGCGGACATTCCATGTCCCCACGTTTACTTTCGCTTTCATCGAGAGAAGACACATCGGCCAATTGGCTTCCCGAAGGCTTTCACCAACTGGCGTCATTTCGCCTCTCCGACTCCAGCGGGGAATAAGTTTGTTTTCATTTTTTATATTTTGTTTGTGCTTTGAAGTTTCTTTAGCGGTTATATTTGTTTTACGGTGTAGGGTTGCTAGCCCTATGCCCAACCTTCCCTCTTTACGGGGGCTTAGGACCGGCTAGTAACTAGTGAACTAGTTAACCAGGCGAGGTTCTCCTGATCAACTGCCACCACCTGTTTTCAGGTTGGCGAATTTTCCACGTTCGAATTCTGGAAAAACGTTGTCTAATGAGGCTCCAAGAGTGATCACCGCATTTTGGTTTATGACAGTCTAAGCCCATCCTGGGGAGCCATGAAGATAGGTCCTATAACTATTGGCAGTCATCAAGACACTGTATCTGCTATCGTGAGGAAAATGAATTGTGTTGGCGACTCAAGGCTACGTCACTCAATGCTGAAGTTGGCGACAACACCATTCAGGCCTGCCGAATGACTCACCGTCTGAAACCAAAATACAGCGTCACTTAGTGGTAACATTGCGAGACTTGATCGACAGACTTCGATCATTACTAAGCAGTAAGAACAAGACAGATGCATCAGATACCCATTTATGACCTGTTCATGTGCTTCTTTCTGCATATTTTGAGTAGCATATATTTGCATATATACACATATATACATTGAATTCTCTTTCGATAAGTAGTATTGCCAAATATCTGCATTACTAACGAGTTTGGAAACATCTCACGTTATGAGAACAAAAAACAATGAGAAAAATTCACCTTAACGAACGACTCAACAGTTGCTGCGGCTGTGCTTTGTGATACAGCGCTTAAGGTAGTGAGAAAATTGTACGGAAGCAAAGTCATATTCAAAGTAAAGTTTTCTTAACATCGACTCAACCTATTTTCTCGCTAATAAATGAACCTAGCAAAAGATGGCGTTATAATGAACAAACAGAATGATACTACAAGAAAAGTCTAAATTGGAAGTGATCGACTAAGCTTTGCCTCAACATCCATGAAGTAAGCGTATTTGGCTTAAAACTTCGCAACATCAGAGACGCTTCGTCCACCCAAAACTCAGCTTGAACATGAATCAGACGCATTTTGGTTCTCTAGTATCCCTGAGGTAGGTAAGGCTGTTTCAAACCTAGAAGGAAGCAAAGCAGCAGAAACTGGCGATTCGCTAACATAGGTTCCTAAGGAGAGAAGTAAGAAATTACTCAGCAGAATAACCAAGATGCTAATTGGTACAAGGGAATAAGAAGTGGTCCTATCAAAATGATCTACATCGTCACTCATTCCAGTTAGTAAAAATGGGTGAAGTCTTCCTGCAACAACCATGGAGGAACCTACTGGACTGTCTTAAATCCAAGAGGCCTTAGTTATTGGACACCCGTCCGGAGCTCGAGAAGCCAGGGTGGTTTCAAACTTGGACACCCTTCATTCTAGTGCTTTCTCACTTAATGTGCTGATATGAGGTATGGTAGCTTGGACTGTTATGCAAGAAGGCCTAATGGTATGTTGATGAGACCTAGACGAGTTCACCAATCGAACCATCGACAGGTTTCGGAACATGGATATACTTATTAGTGCTTGACACATCTTTTAACCAGAAGGTGGTGTCCGACTCCATTGGCCAAGAGATAGGGTGATATTGTCCGACTGCGAACGAGGAACCCAACAAATATTTCGTCCCAGTTAAGGTTCTCTACTCGAACTCGCATAGCCGTGAAGGGATATTGGAGAGCCATCGTTTGAGGCAAGCACAACCAGTAGTGTCCACCAACGACATCAAGTGTCACCACTTCTACTCAACTTTGCTGTATAGCCCTTTGTACACCACCATTTTCTCACGGGTTGACTTACTTCCAGGAGGATACCTGCTAGACTTGGAGTACGTCAATAACATAGTCCCGTTAGGTGAATACACTCATGAGGCACAGTCTTCTGAACGCCTTAGGGAGAAATCCAGGTGTATTTGCGTGTCTCACACCTGTTAAATGCAAGATGGTGCTTTAGGACCAGCCTATACCGAACCGTAGTTTAGAGATGAGAGATAAGGCGGAATAGTACGTTAGCCACCGCACTCACTTTCAGATTCACATCAGCTCAAATACGATAAATGCTGACGAAATCTCAGCTCGGAAAAAGAAAGGCTCGTTCAGTCTCTGACAACTCGTGCCACGTCTGCAAGATACCCAGTTAATTAATGATGAACGAGTGTGCTGCACTTTAGTCTGCTCTGTCCTATTATGCGGTTGAGAGACGTGGCCGATAGTAGAATTTGTGAAGTGACTTTGTGCTTCTGACCACGGTTATCTTCGTAACAATGTCCACGTATGATGGAATCAGCAAGTGAGCACAATTAGGTGTAGGTGCTTGGCAAAGAGAACAGACCAGTGATAAATTTGTGGACTTCCACTGAATAAGATGACTGTGTTGTGCTTCCTATAATTTTTCGTCCACCTTAATATCACTGCTACCCACTTCGTTGTATGCTGCTGTAGACTGAAACAACTTGAACTGTTGAGCTCTTATCCCAGGTTTTACGTTGATTTCTCCGACTGGCACAAGTAGTTTGAATCTGGGGTTAGCTTTACATTAGGATAATGCGAGTTAACTTAGGTCACTATAGGATCTCCGTTGACGAGAAAGTGGTTTGAAATCTGTCGACAATACTGCATGGGTGAGCACCTCGTAGAGTTGTTATATCGCTCGCATGACACCTAAGAGAGATGTAAAAGAATGGATCTAAAATGAGGTCAACAGTAAACAAACAAACAGCACCACTGTGCTGTAAACCACTCTCCTAACACCGACGCGTGACCTGTGACTAATCGTCCTAAGAATTGGTGCGGTAACTTGGAAAGGTGTTGCTTAGACGAAAATACCACGTTAAATGTGATGCACTAGGCTTTGGCTCAAAGTTCAGGGACTTTTCATCTCTGTTTGGTGTTTAATAACAAGTGAAAAGCAACTTTCTAAAGGGTTTATCTTAAATCCTAGCCTACACATGCCACTTTGTTACGCCGTACCTTGCTGATGTTTGATCCTTATTCACGCAATACCAACTAATCTAAGAATTTCGAGACTACTCGCAAACAAAAGAATAAAAACAACAAGCACAGCAAGAAAGGTATAAATCAAAATCATAGAGTTACGTACACTATAGTCACACTATTCAGTTGTAAGGTGAAGATCTTAGTCCATATCGATGTCGTTTTCACTTTCGGAGTCTGGTTCTGTCCCAGACAAACTATCAATTTCTTCTGCCGGGATTACCTGCCCTTCGCACTGCTGAAGATCACAGCCTGTTGTTAGTGCGTTAATCTTAGTTTGAAGTTCGGCAAAACTTTTATTTCGATATAATTGTAGTGCTTGATAAATCAAATGGCCAACTTCTTCGTGCGAGTTGTCTTCACAAATTATGTTCAACTCTTCATCCAAATAGTCTTCCAAGAAGTCACTAATTTCATCTTCGCACTTTACTTTTGAAATTAATTCAGGTAAGTTTTCGTACAAAACAGTTACTTTTCGATGGGTATTTGGGCCTCCGGATTCATGATTCAGTCCAAGGCGCAAGGCTGTCCATGAATCCAAAAGTCTCTTCACGTATAAATTAAGCAATTCCATGTCATAGTATACTCAGAAAGACCGCTCTTTTTAATTTCCAACAGAAACCAAACATAAGTAGCTTCAAACATGAGGACATACTGTGAGTGCATAAACAAAGAAATTACGCCATCTCTTGTGAATGCTTCGAAGGAACTTGCATTTTAGGTGGTTATTCCTTTCGAAACGTGATGTAGTGATGTGGCTACATTTTGTTGACCCTGATCCTGTGCTATGGATAGGCATCAAGAGCGTAGTTTGTAGAGTTACACTTTTCGATCACGAGATAAAATAATCTTGACACCTAAGTTCATTTATTCGCAGCGCATCTTCGTTCGTGCGTGACCAGTCTTCATGTTGTGGAAGTGGCAAATGGCAGTTCCTTTGGCTCTGTAATAACGTAAAATGCCGTTTGTTTGGAATAGCCAGGGTGCTTGTCCCGATCCCAAGGGACCAGAAAAAACATGGATAACCGAATATCGTCATTCAACTATTCTATGGAGGTGCTGTCATCTAGGGTCTCTTAGACAATAGGAAGCTGCTTGAGTACAGTTCATTCGTACCACAGGAATAGGCGAAGACGTACAGTCTCCTTTTCAAAACACTGACAAGCAGCTTCTATACGCTCCAGCAACAAAATTCCAAGGTTTACACATCTTGAATAAGGACAAATCCCAAAGACCTTCCCATCTGCCCTATCGTGCTCTACATTCAAAAATGACTTTTTAGGGGAAGTTTATGACTGGAATTCTGAGATGGAACTGTTAAAACGAACAGGATTGTGGGCAATATGAGATACCACGACCACATCACAATGATCCATCTTTCACGTGCCCATTGCAGCCCAAGATTGGATGGGAGATAGAGGTACATTTTGTATAGCAGTCTAAACGCTTTTTTGTAGCTCTTTTCTGACCCTGTTCCTGGATAGCGATGTCTTCCATCAAGAACAGGGGATTTCTCCTGAGGTCTGGATGAATGCCAAGTACCAGCGGTGTAGCAAATAGACTTGCCATCAATTTCCATAAAGTTAGAGAATGAAAATTAGACCATTCGTAAAGCTTGTGCATTCCAAGGCGGCAATTTGGAGAGGCTGCAACTGCACCGCGGCTTTCACAATCAGCTGTGAATAAAATTACACCTGCATTTGTCTGTGATTATTATCTTTCACATCTCCATGTTGAAAGACAGTAGTTATTCCCCCGTCTGATTCAGGACTTTGGATAGGTGGCGAAAGAAAAGGGAGATATTCAAAGGCCTTTCTTTTACCTCCAAATTTTCAGTTCATCCACGTCGGATAGTGCCTGAGGATTCATAACAGATGATACGTTATTTGTATAGGAAGTGATGAAAACTACTCTCTTATCTGGCCAGAAAGCCGCAGATAAACTGCTTACCAGCGTGTGGCGTGGTGGTAGAGAGTCTTCGCAACTTAAAAGAGATATGCAAAGCCTGTTAAAAGATAGAAACGTGGACAAACATCTATTCTATCAGCTTTGGTTATGGAAACTTTCTTCATGTGCTCAACAGATATTGGCTGTTGGAGATGCAGAAAATGACACTGATAGGCTAACGGACATTGCCGATCGTATGAACGCAAGAGTGCCCGGACAGGTTGAAAATATTGTTGAACCGACACAGGCTGACCGTGTAGCTACTTTGGAAAGAAAGATTGACATGGTCGTAGGACTGTTTAAGGCTTTGCAGTTGAACAGATGGCCACTGAAGTCCTCTAGGAGCAGACCCCACGGTTATGATAAGACCATGAGTGGAACCGCATTGAAAACTGGCACGTGTTGGTGCCACAAGAAGTTTGGCAATGAAAAACGCCGTTGTCTGCTACCTTAGAAATTTTAAGACCCCCTGTTTTTCGGGAAACGGAATGGCTGTCAGTCGATGACAACTGCTGTCGCTAGCGTACAACAACGCAGACATTCATTTTGGATGACAAGTAGGAAGACCTAGGGCCAGCTTCCGGCTGGCACCAGAGCAGGTGTGGGGGTGATCCCACCAACCCCTACCAAAAAACACCATTCAGACCCAGCATTAGTGCCCCAAGTGGCAGATAGATTTGCTACTGCTACATTTGGAACCGAAATTTTGATTCCAGACTTCGGTTTCCACACACCATCCTGGTGATAATTTGTGACCGATGACATATGGTACCCTCCCATATATACATGGATTTCCCTCAACGCTGTGAACCGTTGGCTGGCTCCAGTCACCACAGACCATTTAGCTGTGATAGGAAGTATTCTCTCTCAGGTGTTATCATGGATTCAGAAACTATAGCTACAACAAACATTACTCCCGAGTTTGATGCCCCACTGCGAGAATTTTTCGAGCCCACACAGACGGACTGCACGAAGCCCTCGCAAAAGCATACGGTGACACCACACTGTTACGAAAAGTCCTCCAATCTCATTGAAAGCTCGGCGATTAGTCCCCAAGAAGCTGCAGATGACAAAACAGGAATTCGATCAGCTTGTGAAACAAATATCATCCCTCCTAATTTTTTCTGAAACGGCACCAGGTGACATACGACCTTCCGCTGATCACCGAACGTTAAATAAGAGCACGGTCCTCCGTAGATATCCGCTTCCTCACATATATGCAGAAGTGGGTATTTTTCAAAGATCAACCCCGTGCGGGCTCATTAATATATCCAGGTGGAACCCAGTAATATTTCTAAGACGGATATCATCACTGCTTTCGGGTCACTAGAATCATTCGTGTGCCATTTGGTTGGAAACAGTGCAGCGTCTGACAGATTTGTTGCAAGGATGAGCCAGAGAAATCCACTGGATCCAAGTGGCTCTCGATGAATTTGGCAAACTGAGGCTTGCTCCGCGCTCTGCAACTCTCCTCTCTCACTGCGATTCAGAAGCACTGCTAACTATCATGAGAGATGCTTCGAATGTTGGTGTAGGCCCAGTGTTACAACGGTTTGTCCATGGCCAATGAGAACCTTAATCTTTCTTCCAGAAACGACTTGATGCTTTTCGATCGCGGTACAGCACGTCCAAAAAGTTGCTGGCGACTTATTTAGCTATCAAGCATTTCAACTATATGCTCAAAGGGTACAGTTTTGCGGCATGCACAAACCATAGGCCCCCACAAAAGTGATTACTGCAACGCGCGCCGACCATTCGCCGCGAAAAGTTCGGGATTCGGAACTTATTTTGTAACTGAATTAAGATATAAAGTATTTTGGAGGTAATAGAAGTGAGGCAACTAACGCCTCGTCCCAGATGTACGCGAATATGTTGCATCACGACCACATCGATGTAAAGAGGAATGTCAAAGTTGCGGATGGCAATCGTGCACCTAAGACATCTAAAAGTCAATGCATGCACCTCACTAAGTCCTGAAGGAGTGATATTCGGCGATTCTCAATCTATCGGGTACGTGAAAGAGCAAAACATATCTGTTTGAATCGGGGTCCAGCGCATGCCTAGCGCTTGAGCGATCGAAGGTGCAGGGGCACATTCTTACAGACCTTACATTTGACCATATACGTGTCCAAATCGTTGGGCCGTTGCTTCTCTCGAATGGCTTAGGCTGAATTTTGACATGTGTAGGCAGATTCAAGATATCTCCGCATGGTATTGCTGCCGGCAAACTAGCGAAAAACATCATCCAGCACTGGATTTCTACCTTTAATGTCTCAAGTGTCACCATTATGAGCAGATGGGTAGAGTTCAACAGCTGTCTGTCTCGACAATTAACCGTGGTCAAGAGCACAAGAACTGCGGGGTACTACCCTGCATCTAATGTTATTGTTGAGGGGTTTCATCGACGGATAAAAGCAGCACTCATGACAGTTGAATGTGATGGAAGATGGACTGATAATTTACCACCAGGTCCGCTGAGGATACGTTCAAGTGCCAAGTGGGACATCGGCTGCTGTATTGCCGAGCAAGTTGTGGAACTACCTTAAGATTGCTCAGAGAACATTTTACCCCGCCAACTGGCGTTCCACCGCACTCAGATGAATATGTGATACGCTTGCGGTGCCATGTGAGCAAACATTTGAGCGCGAACTCAGCCCCCGCGATGTCACTGAGACTAGGCGTACATTCTTCTGGTGCATCCCAGACTGCGACCGTGTTTCGATCCGGTATAACAGCCTACGAAATCTGCGGCAACCCCATATGAAGTAATTGATAGATCAGAAAATGTTGCTACGGTCGAACTGTCTGGCAGACAAGGGATGGTTAGCATCGACAGAATCAAACCAGTGTGTATGGAGCCATTTCTCACAGATCACGTGCCTGAATCCAAAAAAGGCAAATGGAAACACCGAGGAGTGAGACATAACTGAGACAATGACATCAGAATAGTTGTAGACGGTAACAGGAGCAGAACGTCCGCTAAGCCGGTCCATTGACCACAATGTTACGTTCACACAATTCACTCTTGATAGAACCAATTTGATGGTGGCGATATCACTGTTTCTGTTCATTACCTTATTGGTTACGCGCACAATCACGGATCAACGATTCCGTCGAATTTTACAAAAAGGTATTCGCGAACCTTTTATTTTCTTTCCAAACTAGTGGGCCTCAGCAACATCCTGACATGGCAAAACTGGGGGGTCCAAATTTGGCCTGATTAAGTTGAATAAGTTAGGTACTGGGCGAACAGACTATCGCAGCAGTTCTAACATTCCTACAAGGCACAAGTGAAGAGCCGAGAAGGATCCTAAGGAAACAACGAATTAGAGTGATTTAAGAAACAACCAACGCCTACAGTTATGACCGAGTTCGCGTTAACGTTCTTTCTCCGGACGCATCTCTCATGCGCCATGAATAACGGTATCCAATGTACAGCTTGACATTGTACATAACAGTCAGTCCTTATTACCAAAATGACCAAACCTGTAAACGGTTCGTTTTTGTGTGACTTATATTGTATGAAATACGTTATTATTATAATGAGAGATGAAATGCATATCAAACCCATACAAAACTGTGTCTACAAATTAGGCTGTATGGATTGCCGTGATTATTACAATGAGGAATCATCCTGTGAGGTCTTCATTTAGGCGAAGGAAAACGTAAGTTACACAAGACGATCGCGAAATAATGCAATCAAGCGCGAGACAA